AAGATCTGATATCTAACTCATTTGATGCATACAGAACAAAAGGAAAGCACCGATCAGGGTTTGGACCATAGTATTACCCAGTAATTTCTTTGAAGCTAGACAGTTCTTAAAATTGGTGCAGGCTCATTTTATGACAGATCATCACTGGGTCGGGAAGAGGTCATGAGAAACCCAAATTCTTTATGGCCTAGATAGATAGGTGAGGGGAGAGGGAGGCAATAAGGCGCGCTACAGAACAGGAAAACGGCGGGTATCTATCTTGCTGGAAAGGGAATCAAGGTTAGGTAAAAAGGTTAAACTCATATGCAAATCTCCCTGCACATAAACAAGTTACTTCAAACAAGTATAAATTAGGGGCCATCCTAGTTTTCTTTAGCTCTTTAGCGAAGAATAGAGGCGCCTAATAGTGATTAACAACCCTTGTTAGCTTGTTTTAGCACCACTCTTCTTGTTTGTAGAGGGCCGCTCTGGTTAACATATCAATTAGGTGAGATTCTTGCAATTCTTTACAGAGGAGAGTATTGCTCAACATATCAATTAGGTCACTTAACATACCAGTTAGGGAAAAAAGGAGAAAAAAACACATTTAGTAAGCCATGTTGCAGGTTTGTTATAATACACAAAATGATGAAGCTAGTTTCTTAGAGTACAACAGTTGAGAGTTTGTGCTGAGAAGTCAGCTGTGATTCTTGTTTCCTTTACAGGTGATTTGTTTCTTTTCCCTAACAACTCTTAAGATTCTATTCTTGTGGTGGATTTCTTGAATCTTGACTATTATATACCTGGATGTAGATTTTTTTTTATCATGGCTAAGTGGAGTTGTATATGCTCACTTATTTGTATTTCAAGGTTTTTTTTCTCCACCAGGAAAGTTTTCTGCCGTGACAGCTGTGAACTTTTTAAAATATCATTTGTAGTATCTCCTTTTTCATTGATTCCATTCCTTCTTAAATTATTTTTTGCCTTGTCTCTCAGCTGCTGGCTTGATTTCTTATGGTCCTGTGCTATTTTTAAAAAATCTTTCTTTTCCTGATCACGAACTGCAAGTCTCTCTTCGGCGTCCTCACACTGGCCTAATCTACCTCATATAATCTCACTGAAATTTTTATTTTCTTGGATATCTGCTTGAATCTGCTTTATTGATTCCATTTCTTTCCTGTGCTGAACTTCCATAATTTTCTTAAGCTCATCTACTTTTTTTCCCTGTATCTGTGCTAGTGTCACTAAGCATGGTCTTTATTTTTGGACGCTATCTCTGTAGTTACATCAGAGATTATTTCTGATTTCATTTTTTCCAGAGCCTCATTCAGTTGCTTTGTTGTTACCGTTTCAGAGAGGCCTGATGGAAGGCCTTTGCATTGTTTGAACTTATTGGCCCCTGGATTTGCCTTTGGCAAACTGGATGTCTAGGGTTAAATTTTATTTAAGTGTCATCCCATTTTCTTTTCTTTTCTTCTTCTCCTTTTTTTTTTTTTTTTTAGTTTAATTTCTGGGATGATGCCTGTAAATTGCCTGTGGTGGGTTACTTTAATGCGAGTATTTAGGTGATGATTACATCTCTGAGGTATCTTCTAGGTGTACTTGCTTTTTGAGTTTTGAGTTTTTGAAAGATATTAGTTGTTCAGTTTGTTGAAGATGAGAAGTGTTTGGTCCAGTCTCTATTTCTTTGGCACTGTGTGAGAATATTTTCCGTGACCCTTAGTCAGTCTCAGTCATGGAATACCAGGATCAACAGCTGGCTAGAACAATTATGTCAATTTTGACTATAGTGGTATCAGTAGCATCAAACATGGCCTAGAAAATAACAAACTGAACTAACTGTTAATTTCCCACTTTAGATTTGTGGTTATAATACAAAATCTAAAACAAGATAAATATATGTGATATAGAAGAAGTCCATAATATGTCAGTTTTACCCTCAGGGTTTAAACTTTAAAATAGGTTCAGAAGAAAATAGAGAAATGGAAGAAGTGGATGAGATTAGAAATAAACTGTAGGACAAAGGGGGATTATGCTAACTTTGGGAATGGAGTGTAGAAAACTGGAGGGCAAGAGTGAAGGAAGACACAAAAAGAACAGAACAGAACAGAACCACAACCACAGAGAAGCTAGCAACCATGTTCACACTTACATTAAAACAAGATCAAACAATGAAAGAGAAAGTTTTAAAAAGCTAAATTGAAAACACACTAAAAACCAAAAAAAAAGAGGAAAGAGAAGGAAAAAACAAGAAGTCCACTCCCAGGCCTGTCCCTGTTTGTCTCTGCTTCCACTTGCAGACAGCCTGTGGAGGCAGTGTCCCAACCCGCGCCAGTCTGTCCCAGCACACCGGCAGCAGGGAGGTGGTGGGTAATCTGAGTAAGCCTGTTCTTTCTGGTGGAGACCAGTCAGTTGCATTTGGCTCACTGCCCTCTGAGCACTTTCCATGGATGTGAGCCCTGCTGGGAACCAATAAATGGAGCCAGCCACAGCTCTGAGTTCTGATCTCAGCCGGCCAGTCTCCAGGATGGCTCCCGGCCAATTGGTTTCTCTCTCACAGGAAGACAGCCCTTTGCACTCACGACCACTGTTTCCCTCCACATCTGCTGCTCCCATCCACTACAGCGTCTCTCTGCAGAGGCTTCCAGGGTAGTCACAGCAGCTCCTAACCAATGCTGGGGAGAGGAGCCCACTTGGACCCCTTCCTGCTAGTCACAGCAGCTCCTGATCACTGGCAGGAAAAGGAAACCATTTCAGATCCCTTTTGCCAGTTAAGGTGGTTCCCCATTAATCATAGATCCACTTTTGATGGAGAGGAGCTTTATACATTCTGAATGGAACTGTCCGGGAGATGCCACAGACCTTCCCTCCCTTTCTGTGGACATCTTAAAAGGAGGCCTTAGCAGATTTGGGTAACTTAGAATTCCACCAGGAAACCTTTATGCCCCTGGCAAGTAGCACCAAGGATCAGGTGTTGATGCTTAGGAGTGTGTTTTGGGACTGAACCTTATAATAGTAAGTAAAATAGATCCACAGAGCTCCTTTTTTCTGGTAATGTCAGGTTAAGTCTCTAAAAACAATTAAAACATGCTGAATAAACTATGTTAAATTTCACTTCAAAACAATCAAATAACTGAAGATAGTGAGAAACTTCTAAGTCAATTTTAATTGAAAGTCCATGGCAGACAGGTGATAAATATATAGAAAGCTGTCTGTCTAAGGATATTTGCCAATAATGTATGCTTAGCTTTTGTTCAGAAGTGTCAAAGAATGGGATAACAGATCAAGGCCTACCAAGTATATATATATAAATTTTTTTTTTTTAAACCAGGGATCAAACTCAGAACCTCCCACTTGCCACACAGGTGCTTATGCATTGAGCTAAATCCATTTATTCTGCCTGTTTGAGGCTGGAATTCTATTAGGAGAAGGGTAAATCAGAATTAACCCTGCAGCCCTGCTCCGAATGACTGTAAAGAAAAGGTACCACCGACTGCCTTTCAGGGATGCATAATGTTAGTAAGCCAAGAATTGATGTAAAGTGATTCTTGATTGAGTGCTTAGCAGAAGCACAATGTTTCTCTGGTAGGTAAAGGACAATTCATACTAAACCTCAGGAAACCTACCACAAATAATTTTTTAACATGTTCACAATGGGGCTATAATTCATATATGTCAATACCAGGCAGCTTGAACCACTTATAGCACACACATTACTGTCACGTGCAAGATTGTACCAATTCTGTCACTAGTGGTAAAAGCCACCCGATAGGATAGTCATTCACGTTATCATTGGTGCTTCAAGCTGGAAAAACCATGCTACAGCATTAGCAAGAAAAAGTGAAAAATAATCCGGTACACTAGGAAACTTGGCAACACAGGACCAGCAAGGAAAAAAATATCAACTTCTCTACCCAGACTGAAATATTAGGATCATAAAGCAAAGACTTAAAAATATCTTTACTTACACCATATCTAGATAAGTAAATGGCAAGTGTGGAAATATTTTTAGGGACTGGGATATTGAAAAATTGAAAGATTTGAAACAAGAACCTAATAGAAGTTCTAGATCTTCGTTGAGCAATGTAGTAATCAACCACATATAACTAAATGAATTGAAATTAAATATACAATTTGTCAGTCATGCTAGCTACATGTGCCTAGTTATTGTCGTATAGCACTATTATAAATATTTTTATCATCTTAGGAAGTTCTGTCAGACAGCATAGGCCTGTAATAGTCAAAATTCTAAAATGAATGTGTCTGGTATTGATAATACAGAAGTTAAGTCTAGCAGAGCATTTAGGAATTGGAAGATAGAGCAGAATATTATCTACAATGCAACAAAGGAAATCAAGAAGAGAAATGATTAAAAGAATAAAAGGTATATGCTGTAACAAATATATTGAGACAATATATATGTTTATTGAAGTCCTGAAAGAAAACAAGAGGAGAAATATTTAAAGAGATAATGATTACAATTTCTAAAAACTATTCTAAGACAAATACATAGATTGAAAAGACCCAGATAATTCCCAGTAGATCAATGTAAATAATTCCTTCCTACATGCATCATAGTAAATCTGCAGAAAAACAAAGAAAACAAGATGAAATGGACACTTGTCTAGACAAAAGTAAATTAGAAAAATTTATTGAAGAAGAAAAAGAAAAAGTCCAATAACTATGAAAGATATTGAATTAGTCAGAAACCTAACCAGTCCAGATAACTTCACCAGTGAGTTCTACCAAACATTGAAGCAAAAAGTAATGCTATATATATGCAGACTGTTCCAGAGAGTAGAGAAAGATGAAATAGTTGATCGTTTTCTGAAAGTTACATACTTTGTTAAGCAAGGCCTAACAAGAATTCGGGTAAATTTAGCTACTAACTCTTGGAGAGTGAGATATGTAGAAATTTCATTTTTGTAAATATCTATAAATACAGAGTCTTCTGAAAATATATACACACTTCAAGAAAGAAAAATCTGTATATATATTTCAATACTAAATTTATTGAGACATAATAAGATTAATACAAGTTACCTTTGGCCTTTACAATTACAGGAGGTGCTCAAAGTGATGGCTATTAATTTCCAGACATTTATTAGTACAGAGAGCTGCTGCTTAACTAACCATGGTCATTGACATTGCTGCACGTGCATTTTCAATTCCTTCTCAAAGGCCAGCAGTGTAGTGAGTTTTCTCTGATATATAACATCCTCTAGGGTTTCCATACAAGTATAACACCATCTGTTGAAAAAATGTCATGCTATTTTTATTTTCCTGAAGTGTGTGTACATTTTTGATGGACTTTGTATATATTACTAGTGTGAAATAATATTTTTATAAATTCTATATGGCCAATTGATTCTCATGAAATTTGTATCCATTGCGAATTTATGGTTGTCATTCAATCATGGTTTGATTAACTGAACTATACCCCTGATCTCTCTTCCCAGTAAATTTAGTCCCATAGTAATAAACTGTTTATAACTATTTTCACCCCTCCGCAGAATACATTCATAAAACCAAAACCTCTTTCAGCTTTACCACTGAATCAGCCTTGCTTATAGCATTTTTCATTTTTGTGGTTTGAATATCTTACTATTGCTGATTTCACACTACCAACTTGGATCCCTAAAATTACAATTGTTGAATCAGTCATATTAAGGAATTAAAGATATGTAAAGCCTATCACTTCATAATTATTTAACTATATTTTATTGTTAGATATTCTCCTGATGTTATTTATGTTTAAATGAGAGTTCAACTTATCAAGATAACAGTCAAGATCACGCATGACAGTAATTCAGAAAATAAGTAATAAGTTGAAATATTGTCCTGAAACACTGGCTGTTACCTTGGAAGTAGACTTTCCTGAATCTTCACTTAAAATGAGTAGACTGGTGCAGCTAATCAGTGATTCCTGATTTCTACTCGGCTACCTTTGTAAAAAGGATGTATCTTATATAGCAGTATGCCATTAAATAAGTTTTCCTCTAACACCCAAAACTCCTCTAAAATAGTCCTCTTTTTAAAGAATTAACCAATGTAGTATTTCTTGATTGTTGTTGTATACAGAAATCCATCTTATGATATATGTTGCATAATGATTTTTATCATTTTTATGACAGCAAATATATTTTCCTGTATTCTAAAATATGAACTATAATTGAACAACTGATTAATATAACCCACTTATTTCGAGCTCACCCAGGGTCGCCAAAAAAAAAAAAAATAACCCATTTATATGCTTATTTTTATACTACTGTTATCTGTGAATGTGCTTTTATTGAACTTAGACAAAGAACTTAAGTTACATTGACATCTCTGATCCTTCCATTCTAGGCCTGCCGTAAAATAATTTGTTTTGAGGTTGTCCTGCCACATATCATAAATTATAAAAGATTGTGCCCCAGTTTAATGATACGTTTGTGCATGTATTCTAATAGGGAAATGGGGATATCCACCCAGACTGGGGTTTAAAATATATATATAAGATTTGGAAATGAATTTTTTTCTTTTAATATATACATTTTTAGAAAAGGTCATTGCTACACTAGCTGCCTGTCTGGAAAATGAGAATCAAAATGCTCAGAAGATTGGAGCAGCTGCACTTTGGGCTCTAGTTTACAATTATCAGAAGGTTAGTTTTTAAGATCGTTGTTATCCCTGGGGTGGGGAGGGAAACAACTAGGTCTCTTAGGGTCCATTCAAGGATGTCAGAGGGTCATCAGTAGAAAGAAAAATAAAGCCAAAGACCTGTTCTTTTTGTTCATTCATCCAACGAGTAATCTCTCAGTGCAAAAATGTTTTTTTCATTTAATCATTTCATTAGGATGTCACTTTTCAGAAGAATGTGTTTTACGAGTTTCCCTGAGTTGATTTGCCTTTCATTCCAGCTTTAGTGTAGATTATTTTTTCTAAAAGGTGATCAGGGAAAATGTATCTTGACATAAAGCTAAGTAACAAAGATTTTTTCCAATTACATAATTTGCTTTTCCTCCTGTATATATCATCACTGTGTTTGTAATTTGCTCAGTTCTTAGAAAAGCATAGCAAAGGACCTGCCCAGAGAGAGTGGCAGCTTCTTGCTTCTCTCTGTCTCTGTCTGCCCGCCTCCATCTCTAGCCTCCGGTCTTTTTTTAGTGCAGACATCTCACTCCGGAAAGAAATACCTGTGGGTATCTAGTGGTGAAGACAGATGACAGTGTTGGGACACGTCGTCCTAGAATGCTGTTTCTTCAGCCACATTTCCCCACTGACTAGACTCACACACAAGGGTCTGAAGCTGCTGCTGTCCTCACCTGGATGTTTCCTAGACAATAAACAAAATTTTGTAGTTATTTAATACATATTTGTTGACCTACTGACTGGTCGTTTGAAGTACTCTATCAGAAATCTAATAATTGAGGGAATATGAAATGTTGCAGTAAAGTTGACTGGTTTAAAATGTACTAGTCGCATTACTATATTTCATAATATTTTGTTTAACGCTGCCCATGTAGTTAGCAGTTGGCTCACAAACAGTTTGGTTTGCAAATAGAAGTATTTGGTAAAGTTATATTTTTTGTTGACAAACTGCATCACATCAGATGTGCAAATGTGCCATGTTTTCCAAAATCATAGGACAAATTAAATTCCTGAACTGAGGTCCCACTGTATTGTGTTATCTTGATCCTTAACATATAGAAATAAATCTAATTCATGGAATGTTTTGTATGGCTGTCTCTAGGCAAAACCAACTTTGAAAAATCCATCAATAAAAAGAAGAGTGGATGAAGCATACTGTTTAGCAAAGAAAAGTAAGTTTTATTTTTAAAGAGATTACAGTTAAACTTGGCAACTACTAAGAAAACTGGTTACTAAAATACTTGAACAAACCATGACAAAATAATTTTTCTGCATGCTTTTGCTAGGTTTTAAGGAGCATTTTTGTCAAAGCATTATAATAGGTGCCAGTATTTTTTATGCATTTCATTATAACATTTTAAAATAATAAAATATTCTGATATTTAGATATAAAACTTTCTTTAAAGAAACTTTCTTTCCCTAAGTCAGCTTTTTCTTCTACCAAAATTATTTGCCAATGGCTGCCACTGCTAATGTGTGACAAGAATAGAGCCCAATTAGAATTGACCTTGAACAAAAACTTTGATTTAACATCAGAGAGTTGAATGCAGTCTTCCAAGAATAGATCCCCAGCGCCCCTGTGTTCACGTTCCTCTGTGTTCTGCATGATTTGGGAGGGTTTCTTTTCAAAGCATGTTATGGTACTTATTTTAAGTGACACCTGCTATCCATGATCCTCTGAACATTGTTTCATTTCACAGTAACTGAACTGTGCCTTTCCTGTAGTGTAAATTATCTGTGGATTATTAATCTGTGTTTTCTGATCTGGTATTTGTTGTTGTTATTGTTGTTATTTTTAATAGTGGAGAGATTTTATTTCCAGTTACATGAATTTCTGGAGCAAGTGACTAGTTGGGCTATATTAAAGTTTGTGCTTTAGGAAGGACCGTACATTAAAAAAACATGGTTTATATTTGGGAGTATAGTTAATGTCTATTACGACAGTGTATTTTTCATTCCCTTTGGTTAAGTAATAATAATAAATATAAGTTATAAAGGCATGGACAACTATTTTGAAGTGAATGAGACATTATGGCAACCACTGTTGATTTTGCTATTGTCTGGTTTTGAAGGTCTGTAATGCCTTCATTACTCTGTTTTGATCAGTCTTATACTATTTTGTTTTGTATGAATTTATTGGGTGTGAAGATATAGAAAACTATTTATTTTTTAAATTTTATTTTAAAAAAGAAAAGTCAGAAAAGAAAAATAAAAAGCAAAAGGATAATCAACGGCAGCAGATTCAAAACAATAACAATATAGGTCTTTAAAACAGAATGAAAGAAATTTGATGATGGTTACATATTGCATATTGTTCACTTTTTTTCAAATTAAGAGAAGAATATTAAAGAAAATAGAAAAACAGAAAAGAACTATAGAACAATACCAAATTTTAAAAAAAATTACCATCATAGAATCATTGTTAATTTCTCATTGTAGTCGTAACAAATAGTTGTCAAAGTCACAAAATCAAAGCATAAATAGTGGCTAGACATTCAAATATTGATATTACAAGTCCTTCTGTTCAGTGTTCCAACAGATATTCAGTAATATGGTCACCTACCTTACACACTATACATACCATTGTACTCTTTAGAGCACTTTCCTTTGTCTTTCACAGTATGTAGTATACATTTTGGATCCCATTATTCTGTCAGTTTTTTATTGTTTCTTACACTAGAGAGACAATGTGATATTTACTCATGAATCTTGTTTATTTAACTAAGGAGGATATTTTCAAGTTGCCTCCATTTATATATAAGGGCCTCAAGATCATCTTTTTTACAGCTGAGTAGTATTCCATTGTATAAAAATACCATATTTTTTTCATCCATTCTGCAGTTCATGAGAATTTTGGTTGTTTCTAAGATTTAGCTATTGCAAATTGTACTGCTATGAACATGGGTGCACATATATCTCTGTGACATGACCTTTTCAATTTTTCTGGGAAAATACCCAGGAGGGGAATAGCTGGACTGAATGGAACTTCCCACCCTAGCTTTTTTTGGAATCTCCATACTGTTTTCCATAGTGATTGCACCACTGTACACTCGTACCAACAGTGGAGCAGTGTTCCTTTTTTTCTTCATCCTCGCCAACATTTGTCATCAGTTGTTTTCTTGATGGCAGCCATTCTTTCTGGGGTGAGATGAAATCTCAATGCTGTTTTAATTTGCATTTCTCAAATGACCAGTGATGTGCACATTTCTTCATATATTTATTTGCCAATTGTATATCTTTATCTGAGAACTATGTGTTCATCTCAGATGCTCATTTTTGGAAAGCGTCTTTGCATTTGTGGGGCTTGGTGTTTTTTAGTTTTTTATATGTTCTGGATATAAGCCCTTTGTCTGAGGGATTGCTGGCTATAATTCTTTCCTAATCTGTGGGTTTTCTTCTCACTCTGTTGGTGATTTATTTTGAAGTGCAGAAACTTTTCAATAATGTGAGATCCCAGTTATTGATTCTTTGAAGTGTTTCCTGTGAAGTTTGTGTTATATTCATGAATTCTCTCCCTACCTCTGTGTCTTCAAGATTTTTACCTACTTTGTCTTCCAGTAGATTTAGTGTTTCTGTTTTAATATTTAGATCCTTGATCAATTTTGATTTTAGTTTAGTGTATGATGATAGGCTTGGGTATATTTTCTGTCTTTGGCATGTGGAATACCAATTTTTCCAACATTGTAGACAACTATTTAGAAGAAAACAAGAGACATTATGGTAGCCATTGTAGATTTCCTATTGTCTTGCTTTGAAATCTGTGTCACTTACATTGTTTTGTTTCTTACCTGCTTTGTTCTGTTTTATGTTTAGTTTTATCCTTTTTTTAAAATAAGATAAATTGTACGATTTCTAAATATTTCCAATGTAAACTATTCTTATAATTCTCATATATTAAGAATTAAATAGAAGCTTATATATAAATCTTATTCATGTTATGTACAAGTACCCATTCTTCAGTATAGAAGTGAGTTTAATAAATTGCTATTTCTATACTCTTTATGTCTAGCTATCTCAAATGCAGAAGAAAACCCTCTAAATGCATACTACCTGAAATGTCTTGAAAACCTTGTGCAGCTGCTCACCTCTTCCTGAGTGCTGTGAGCTGCTCCATCCCGAAGGTGACAGCCAGCTAATGAAACTGAACATGAGGCCACTTCATGTGGTTATTGCACCTGAAGACCTGTCTGCAGAGTGCTGGTGTCCTCCCTGACCTGCAAGAATTAGAACTGGGAACTTTGGAAGAAATGGAATTGATGACATCTCAACTCTGCCCCATTGGGGCCGCTTTCTTGAACTAATGACAGCTGACAGGAACCAGTGGGATAAGGCATAGGAAGTTCTGGCAGCGGAAACATTTTTACCCTTTTCTATGCAATTTGCTTTGTAAAAATTATATATAACAATTATTTAATAAAATAAAGATTTTTTTAGAAACAAAAAAAGGACTATTCATTGTTGCTTCCAACTTTTACCAGTTTTATGAATATTAATTACAGAATTAAGAGGAGACATTGTGTTCTGCTTTCTTTGGTTTTCTTTTTTAAAAGAATTTTTGCATGAAATTTAGCTCTTGTCAATACAACCTTTATTTTTCAAACTTTTATATTGTCCATAGCATATATACTAATGAAAGATATATGTGTGTAAATTGTATAATTTTATAATTTCCTTAGACAATTTTTTGTGATACTAATTACTTTCTGTTTTAGCTACTTTGCTCTCACTGCTAGAATTAAAATACCTGACACCCAAAATGAAGGAAGAAAGCGTTTATTTAGCTCACAGTTTGTGGAAGTTTCCGTCCATATTCACTGGGTCCCAGACAAGTAACGTGGCTGAGGGGCAACATGGTGACTGCAGCAGATACAGAAATGACAAGAGCAAAAGGGAGGAGCACACTTCCTTTCCTCCCTTATATGTATGCAAGCCACCCACGTCAGGGCAGGGGCAGCACTGACACCACCAACCGCAGCACAGACAATGAACTGATCACTGCACTATACTCACCCTCTTTCAAAAGGCCCGGGCCCCCATGATCCCCTGAGCCTTGGGGGGGGGGGGGCATTTAAATATAAACTGACACACTTTCTAAATGATTTATAAGTACAGTTGTAACTTTCACCTTTCAGCCTCTTGAAAGGCTGTGGGATAAAGGAGGGAGAAAAACAACTGTGGTCATGTCGGCCTGGGTTAAATTCTAGCTGAGCTAAAACATCATCAAAAGCAAACCTGAAAATAAAAGAGGAAACTGTAGAGAATTCTATGACATAACTCTTAAGTGGCATGTAATTTTTATATGTATTGTTAATTGGCACATAATTATACAATGTGCCATTTCAGTACGTGACGTGATGTGTGATTAGATCAGGGTATTTACCGTATCAGTCACTTTAGTGTTCTGAGAATGTTCAAAAACCTTTCTTTTTTGAAACAGGTTAATGTTTGCCAAGCATTTCTTCTCTGATGTGCTACAAAAATTAAAGTTATTCCTTCTGTCCACTAGTATCTGCTGAACTTCCTCTTTTAATACATACTTTTAATACATACAGTTACCATACTATATTACACCAACCCCAACCCTAATGCTAACCCTGCTTTTGAAAGCAGATCATGAGTAGTAGAACAGAGTTACTCCTAGCTCAATCTTTTGCCTTCTAAAAACTTTATTTTGTTTTCTTAAAA